TATCTTAACAATTACCCATGAAAACTTTGAGACAATCATCATTTTAGTCATCTTTTTGCTAAACAATTTGCAAAGAGATAACACGAGCTTATTTGACCTTCAGCAAACCTGGATAGAATAAAGTTTCACGTTTACTGCTGATAACTTAAAAGACATGTCTATCTTAATTAAACCAATAACCTTAAATTAGTTTAAATATTGAATTATGTTCCACCTGGATCCTCTCCATTGTCAATTTTTACCTGAGACACTAGTGAGGAAATCTGGAGTAGGTGGTATTAAGTCCAGGGGGTGCTCTTCTTGCTCCTTGACAGTGAAGGGAGAAGGAGCCATGGTGCCTGAGGCACTGAGGATAGTCTAGAAGCCAGTTATGCAGGTCGCACCCAAGGTGGTGCAAAAACAGGAGAAGAGGGAGGGGGAGATAGAAGAGGCAAAGTGCTGGGGTGCCTGGGTGGCTCAGTCGTTAAGCGTCTGCCTTCGGCTCAGGTCATGATCCCAGGGTCCTGGGATCGAGCCCCGCATTGGGCTCCCTGCTCCATGGGAAGCCTGCTTCTCCCTCTCCTGCTCCCCCTGCTTGTGTTCCCTCTCTCGCTGCGTCTCTCTCTGTCAAATAAATAAAATCTTTAAAAAAAAAAAAAGAGGCAAAGTGCTGCCAGAAGGCAGAGAAGAGGGTTCCTGGTTCTAGAGCTCACCAGCTCCAACAGAGGAGCAGATGCCATGTTTCCCCGCCAACAAGGGGGGGAATAAGCAGTCCATGTCCGAAAGAAGACAGGGAATTTCCCCAAAACAAAGGGAGTTTCAGCAGCTGCTTGGGAATATTCCTTAAGATCCTTGTCCTGAGGTAGACTAACCACAGATGGCTCCAGTTATAGCCATTAACCCAGGAAATGAGGGAGAAGCCCCTACATCTATTAGGAAGAACAGTGAGAGAGAGTCAGAGTCCCCTTTGGGGTGGCCTGTGTTTCCTCCAGCAAACCTGGGTTTACTTGGAGGGGCCTATTTAGATAATTATCATCCAATATGTTGGGGAGGGTGGGTTACAAGCCAACACATTCAGTCAAACACATTCTGCAAGAGGCTCTTAGGTCGGGGTCCTGGTGTAGAGCAGTGAAGGCCTACGTACAAGCAGTGAAGGTACCGTAGGTCCATCTGCCCTGTTTCCTGCAGAAGAGATCTAACTGACAGATCCTGAGGCCATGCAGTGTTACAGGAGCTCAGTCCTTTCCTAAATTTTGCAATCTGAATTGTTTCCAGTAGGTTAAAAGGCACCCTTCCTTGGGAACCGAAGAAGAAGCCTAATGAGGCCATGTTCCCAGAAAAGTAAAGGAGGTCCATTACCAAATCCCCCCTGACTCCCAGGTGGCGTCCCACACAGGTTATGTCAGAGGTTTCGTGTGTCAAAAGTGACCAGAGTCATCCCTCAAACAAAAATCACTGTTGATCACCATCCTGCCTTCCTGTGAAGGCATTCCTGCCATAAAAGGCCCTGAAGGGATGCCGGCATCCTTCCCCTCCCCCCCCCCCAATCACATCCTAGACTGCCTATGGGTGCCTGGTGAATGGACTGAAAAACGATGCTGTGCCGTCCTGTGCCCTGATGGTTGCATACTGCCCTGCCATTTCTAACCCATGGAAGATACTGGAAAAGTTTTACAAGGGGGAAATTACCAAATTTTGTAGCTTTAAGTAGTTAGTAGAGGACATTGACGGTGAATAGTAAAGATGGAAATCCATCATGGTCTAAGTGACATTCCAACACATGTGGTCTTTATAAAGTCAACTTCCCTAGGAAATGGTCCCCAGTTGGGTTTTAATTCCATCTGGTACTGGTTTCAGCTGGCTCCCAGTGGAGGTCCCACGGCCAGAAGCAGCTAGACCAGGGATGTGGAGGGGACCACATTAGATCAGTCAGGAGGAAACTTCACATGGGAGTCTTAAGGTTGGCAGCCATCCTGGTGACTTAGGTGTCCCCAAGACAGACAACTTTGTATAAGGACAGGAATAAAGAGTGGGCATCAAGTTTCTGGGTCTTATTACCATCCCGGACAGGGCACTAACTTCCAGCCAAAAGGCAGGCTTTCTCCTCCCCAGAGAGTAGCCATGGGCTAGAGGATTACAGCCTGAGCTATTGACATGAAAATGTTCCAATAAGACCATACTCCTTGAAGAGCTACAGAAATTGAAAGTAAAGGAAAAGAGAAAGTACTCACCAAGTTTGTACCGAAGCTCAGAGTTCAGATGCAAAGACTCAAAGCCCCACGTTGGGCACCGTAGGATGTGGTTTTGGAATATAGGTGAAGTTTGGTGGGGGGAGGTCTCGAGTCAACAGCCAAGAAAGAATTCTTGAGACGTCTCTGGTGTAGAATGGTGGCTTTATTAAAGCACAGACACAGGACCCTTGGGCAGAAGGAGCTGCTGCCCCTGGGGTTGTGGGGGAGCTTATTATATACTATGGGGTCGGGGAGGTTAGGAAAAAGGGAGGTTTCAAAAGGATTTTCATGTGTTAAAGAAGACTGGGGGGGGAGGGATACTGGAGGCCTTGCCATTGTCAAAGTTGTTTTCTCCTCTAGCAAGGCATTAACATTAAGATAGTTGGGAGATTCCTGGAAGGATGTCATACATGTCCCACCCAGGAATAGGGGGTAGGGGGAGGTTGCAGGGTGTCAGCTTGTGCTTTGTCTTCAGCTTGCCTTCTGTTCCCTCATCAGAGGTACGTTGTGCTAATAAGTACATTTGTTAACTAGTTTCAGATTTTTTTTTATTGTTTATTAATATGATTAGGTAGACTTTCTTAAAAAAAAAAAGTTTACTGGTCATTGGCATTTATTCTTTAATGACTCACTTATCCATGCCCCTTAATATTTTTATCTGGTTTTAGAGGTTTTTTTCCTCTGTTGATTTAGAAGATACGGAGGATTAGCTTTTCATTTTTCAATTATTTTTTTCCTTTTTTAGTTTTTTAAACTTTTGATTGTTGGTTTTGTCATATAAAAGTTTTATACTTTCATGTAATTAATCCCTCAGTCTTTTGATGTACTTATTTCTACATTTGGTATCATGCTTAAAAAAACATTCCCTACTTTAAATAATTATATTTACTGGGTTTTTAATAGTTTCTTCTAATATATTGTTAGTACATCTGGATTTTTTAAGATTATGGTATAATGTAGGAATCTGTGTTTTATTTTAGTGGCATTTGTTAAATAAACAATCATTTTTCCATCCATCTAAAATGTACTTCCCTCTTTCTCTTTTAATGAAGAAAATGGTTAAGGGTACTTCAGTTTTTTTCTCACTGACCCCCTGTGGTATCAAGTTAAATATCCAGTTTTTAAGTGAACTAGGGCCTTTAGGACCTCTGTTTTTATACTTTTTTTCCCCTTCCTTTTGATATTTTGAGCCTTCTATATATTTTTTTTTTAGATTTTTTAATTTATTTATTTGACAGAGAGAGATATAGCGAGAGAGGGAATACAAGCAGGGGGAATGGGAGAGGAGGAAGCAGGCTTCCTGCTGAGCAGGGAGTCAGAGATGTGAAGCTCCATCCCAGGACCCTGGGATCATGACCTGAGCCGGAAGTAGACGCTTAATGACTGAGCCACCCAGGCGCCCCTATATTCTAAATTATTCTATATTCTTGTGTGAGTACTACTTTTGCATGGATTTTAGACACTGATTCAGATTATAACCTTATTTTGGTTCTTATCAAACATTTACGATGTTCTAATTATTGAACAAAACCTAAATGTTTCTGTCATCTGTAGCTTCAGAAATTACTTTTTAATCTTAAATTCATTCCTTAAGGTTTACTGTATATGTAAGACACTGTACTAGGCATGGAGATATACATGATCCTGCCTGAGGGCCCTACCTATATAATGGGAAAACAGGCTAGTTAACAGGCAGTTATGAAGCACTGTTAGCACTAAGAGGTTTTTGAGGCGGGGATGATGGCCTCCCAGAGAAAACAACATCTTAGGTAAAACCGTAAGAATGAGTAGGCTGAGTAGCTATTAACCAGGTGAGCAGCCTAGAGTGTTTGCTTGTAGGGGCTGAGAAGAAGGAAAAAATTTGGAAACCAGAAGCAAAAAAAAAAGGGGGGGGGGCATTTTGCCCCGGGGAAACTGAAAGGCCTTATCTTTGGAGGGTGGAGCTGATGGAGAGGAGGGAGTGGTTAGACTGGCTAGCAAGTTACAGAAGAATCCTTATAGAGCCTCGGGCAATGGATTTTAAGCAAGTGAAGTTTTCAGGTTTACAGTCTAGAAAAATCATTCTTGGTCCCTGCAGTGAGGAGAATGGATTGAAGTTGACAGTTGTGAATTGGGGGCTTCCCAAACTTTTTCAGTCTTGCAGGTTAGAATTAAAGATAGCCTAAATTAACATAGAGTAGTAGGAATAGACACTGATAAACTTAGATATCTAGAAAGTAAGATTAAAGGGTGTGGTGAATGAATGAGGGGAGTGGGAGGAATCCAGGACAGGCCCAGCAGTCTGCTTTCGATTGGTGTAGAGGTAGGGGAAGAAACAGGTTTTAGACATGTTGCATGTGAACTGCATCATTAACCTGAGGAGATCTTAAGTATTATTGGATGCAAAGGTCTAACACTTAGGAGAGAGATGGATAACCTATGAATTTGGGAATCACCTCATGATGACCAAAGCCTTAGAAATGAGTAAGTGCTGTGGGGAGAGCAAGTGTGGAACCCTGAGGAACACCCACATTTAATTCCAAAGAAGAGGCTTGGGTAGAGAGCAACTGGGAAATTAGGATCCAAGCTGGCGAGAGAACTCTTCAAAGAGAGTCATTCACATAAATGCTGCTAATGGGGCAAGTAAGCATAAAGATTGGTGTGTCCTGTAGATTTAGTAATGAATAGTTCTTTTGCATGGTAAGCATGATGAGATAAAAGGGTTTGTTTTTTTTTAAGTTGCTTTTTAATAAGGGAAATTTTTTCTGTTTTATTTAAGTGATTTTTTTCTCCCATGTGTTTGAATAATAGGAAGGTCCAAACAGTCTGATTAATGAAGAAGAGTTCTTTGATGCTGTGGAAGCTGCTCTTGACAGACAAGATAAAATAGAGGAACAGGTATATCTTTTATTAAAAATTCTAACACTAGGCATTCCTTGATGTATGTTATTTTATATAAATGGAATTTGAAAACTGTGAACCTAGAAAATGAACTGTGTCTATACTGAGTCACAAATGTAGAAGAATCTTTACAAGTCAGTTCCTTCATTGATGAATTTTTAAGCAGTAGAAAGACCACTGATCACTTAAAGGAATCACGCATAATTAACATGAAACTAAATGGAAATATTCTGCCTATTCCCCTTGAAGTATCCAACTTTATTGTCTATTAAGAACAAGCATATGTTTAATCTGAGTGAAACAGTCTGAATTTCTCTGTATCACAGTTACCAACCATATGAATTCACAAGGAAGATGACCAAGAATTAACCCCTTTATTGCTTTCACCACCTTCACCTTCAATATCTTCCTCACTTTTAACTTTGCTCAGTATTTTATCATTATCAAATTCACAGCAGTTATACCCAGCTATTTCTGTGGAAATTGAAGGAAAACATTTCTTAAATCCTTCAACTCTAGTCTCAGGATTAATTTGATCCTTTGCATCCTTTTAATTCTGTAACAATGCAGTTACCATATATTACCACTAGATGGTACTTAAGGGTGAATTTTAGTTACTCTTCCCAGGGCTTTAAGTATCTTGCAAATAAATTCGTAAATGTATCGGTTATACTACAAATGAACTTGCATAGAAAAGTTGGCTTTTTCATTCCTGTCATTGCTGAGGTAGTCATGGCCATTATGCCTATTCACTGGTCTGTCTCCCTGAGGGTAAATCACCTGCAATAGTGACTTTTGCTTTTCATGTTTATCTTTCATTATTTTTTTTCTAAATCAGTGATAAAAAGTTTTTGTTACATTCATTTATAAAGCTTATTAGTCATTTTTTATGCTGTAAAAAGATGCTATGCAGCATTCAATAAGAATGGAAGCTTTCAGTTCCTAAATGAGCTCCATTTTTAGATGCCGAAAGTATTACCTGAAGAAGTATCTTAGTGTTGGCTTTTTAAATGTTTTTTTTTTCTTCTTATTCTTCACGTTGATGTTTTTTTGTTTTGTTTTTGTTTTAATCTAAGTTGTGGTATTTTGGGGAGAGTAGGTCAAGACAACTTCAGTCTTAGTCTTGCCAGTGACTATGTGGCTGTAAACTTGCTGCTTAAATTCTCTGGGCCTTGGTTTTCTAATATGTAAAACAAGGAGTTACACAAGATGGTTCAAATCATCACTTCTGACTCTAAAATGCTACTCTACCAAATACAGTGGTTGAGTTGGAGTTTAAGAGGATCGATGAAAACTTTTGTAAACTTTAGAAAAAAAAATATTCATGGGTCTATTTGATTTTAGTCTGTTCTTGACACTGTGGTAGATACTCTGCAGAATGGGTCATTAAACAGACCATGATCTCATGATCTCACCTCATGGGCATGTTGATATCACAAGGGTAATTATAGTGTGGTAATGCTCTAGAATAGTAAGCGTCAGTAATCCATGAAATTAGTTCCAAAGATTCAGATCATTTCCCTCGTTGTATACAGTAAATTTTGCACAGGACTCCCAGCAGCACAGCCACTACTAAGGTATTCTTCAATGACACATTTTTGAGTTTACATGGTTCTACATTATTTACCAACATAAGGAAAGAAATTTTCAGTGAAGTGATGAGTGAGCAATGAGATCTTAGCAGTTCTGTTCAGATAGTGTTGAATAGAAATTACCACTTGTCTTCTGCATAGTTAGAAGATGAGCACACACACAACACAGCACGGCTTCTGGTACTTTATATTTAGTAGATACTGAATAAGTGAGAAGAAACTGGGCAAGTTCAGGAGGAGGAAGGAAGTTAAGTGGCAGTTTAACAGGAGTGACACAGTGGGTTGAAGGCTGAACACGTTCATGGAAAGGAGATAAAGATATCCGTGCTATGTTCTTTGTAACACAACTGAAGCAAATGACAGTGGTTCAAGTGGTATGGCCCTGCACAACCCTGATGAAGTGGAATGATTAGAATAATTTGGCCAGAGTTTAGATATAAGAAATTACTTCAACAGCAGTGTTAATACGGATTCATGGTAAATAATGCCATACCGGTATTGGAGAGTCTGGCAAATTTAAAGAACCAATCCCTACTCAAAGTGGTATGTATGGAGTCTGAAAGAAGAGATTGAATTAGAATACATGAAGTAAGTGTCAGGACATGGCAAGGCTTGAACCTTCAGAGTATTTTTGTAATTCAAATATTTATAAGTACTAAAGTGTTCAGTCATTAAATGTTGGTAGTTTCAGGTTATAGTATTCATTCTTAAGCTGCAAAGTATACCTTAAAACCCTCCCACCTAATGTTAAATGTTTTCTTAGTCACAGAGTGAAAAGGTCAGATTACACTGGCCTACGTCCATGCCATCTGGAGATGCCTTTTCTTCTGTGGGGACTCATAGATTTGTCCAAAAGGTAAGCTAATGTCAGAGTTTACTGGAAATATATATTGTTCTTCACTGTTGATGGAACTATCTTGTTGTATAAGTTTTCCCTTTTCTTGAATTTAGGAATGAGATTTTTTTGGTATTGTATACTTTCTTCCATATACATCCTCCAAAACAGTTAGAAATTTTCTTCTGAATATGTTCTTTCTTTTTTGTTTAAGGGGAAAGGGGGGATGGGGGATATAGGGAATGGCTAGTCCAAAATAGTTAACCAGAAGCAGAACCAGTTATGTTAAATCACTTTTTCTTTGGGGTTAAGTGATATTATTTTGTATTATTGGAAGCACTGCATTCTTTTTAGAAAGATTTTGGAGCATAAACCATAATAGGTGCATGAAGTCAGCACTTGCTGCTAAGCTTGTTTCATATAGTGCTTTGTTCTCTCTTTCTTTATCTTGTGTTTGGAAGTTGGTACTGAATGCTCTGTTGTGCCTTTGTTCTGATTACTTGGTTTTTTCTTTGTCTGTCTCTGGTAGCCCTATAGTCGCTCTTCCTCCATGTCTTCCATTGATCTAGTCAGTGCCTCTGACGATGTTCACAGATTCAGCTCCCAGGTACTGTATGACTGTATAGAGTGGACTTGAGTCTGTCTGTGCTATATTTCGGCCTGCTTTCCCAGTTCCTAGATATCTTTTGGTTAGGCCACTTGTTTTGGTTTTGAGTTTTAAATAGTAACAATAAGCATTAAAAAGGCAAAAAAAAGGCCTTCCTTATCTACTAAATAGTTCCTCTGTCAGGCTTGCATGTGCCCTTTGTATCCTCTGCTGTGAATAGCTTGGAATTTTGCCATATAGGAGGTACTCCTGAAAGATTTCAAATTGAAGTGAAACAAGTAGAAGATACCTGGTTTTTAAATACCATGTAGTATCTATTTCTTCAGACAGGATTCAGCAACTTTGATGAGCATGGTTTACAGGATACGTTACAGCATAAAAGCAGGTTTAAGCAGCCCCACTTCTAATCTAATTTAAAGTATCTCATAATTCAACAAGGAAGTTTCTTTTTAAAATATTTGTCTCATTACTCTTGTCAAACTAAGCTCCATTGAACTGATTTTATTTTTGTTATGCACATTACCCTTGAATGTTGTAAATTAATATTCTTGTTCAGATGCATTATTAAGTATTTAGGAATTTAAGACAGGAAGCTAGATGATTGCAGTCCCTGCCTCCATAATAAAGTCAAAGTATTATCCAAGGAATGTTTTTTAATATCAGCATTAGTTTTTAAAGTTTTTCAATCCTTATATCTTTGCCATTCAGCTTTGTATTTTTATGGTGATTGTATTTTACGTTATGTTAGCTTATGTTAAGAAGCTGAGCTCTCTAGTGTGAATGACTGAGTTTAAATCCTGGTTAGTTGTATGATCATGGACAACTTTTTTAACTCTTCTGTGCTTCACTTTTGTGATTTAGCTAGGACTGTGATCTCGCTAAAGCCTGGCATTTTGTAAATGCTAGATATGTGTGAGCTTTTATTAGCTATTATATAGCTATCTATTAGCTATTATTATACAATTTCTTTGAATAATCAAAATTTTCTACATTATTTTTTATCTATCAGAGTATACTTGACCCTTGAATAACATGGGGGTTGGAGCACCGACCCCCCCTCAGTCAAAAATCCACATACAACTTTTGCTTCCCAAAAACTTAACTACTAATAGTTCGTAATAGTTTATAATAATATAAACAGTTGATTAACATATATTTTATGTTATATGTATCATATACTGTATTCTTACAATAAGGTAACTTAGAGAAAGAAAAATGTTATTAAGAAAATTGTAAAGAAGAGAAAATACATTTACAGTACTGCTCTATATTTATTAAAACAAATCCACATATAAGTGGACCTGTGCAGTTCAAACTCGTATTGTTCAAGGGTCAACTGTATTCCGTAATTGTTTTTTAAAGTCATAATTTAGAACAGATTTCTTAGTTTACACTTATGAATAAAATTTACATTTGTTTAACTATGCAGTAAAGAAGAAAATGAAGGTTAAGACTCAAAGTGTATTTTTTTACTTTTGCTGCTTTTTTTTCTCCTTGAACTTTTTTGAGAAAGAGATGTATCAGTTCTGCATCAGAAATCACCCAGAACCAAACTTATTCCAGTATTTCTTAATTTTGTTCATTTATGAAAGCTTTTTAAAAGCATCTCATATTCGCAATAAATCAGTGACAAAACTAGATAATATTGGGATACTTTGGTTTATTCTGCTACACTCCACCTGGCATTAAAATAATAAAGTAACAGACTAAAGCTCATCAGTACTGGTCACCATGTACCCTTAAATTATACAAATACACAGGCTATAAATGAAAATGTAATGAGAGCAGTAAAAGAGGGTAAGCCACAATAGATGCCTAAGAATTAAGGCTTCAGGGGGCGCCTGGGTGGCTCAGTTGGTTAAGCCACTGCCTTCGGCTCAGGTCATGATCCTGGAGTCCCGGGATCGAGTCCCGCATCAGGCTCCCTCCTCGGCGGGGAGTCTGCTTCTCCCTCTGACCCTCCCCCCTCTCATGTGCTTTCTCTCTCTCTCATTCTCTCTCTCAAATAAATAAATAAAATTAAAAAAAAAAAAAAAAAGAATTAAGGCTTCAGAATGCCCACCTTGGACCCAAGCTATAGAGCTTTAAAACACCTAAAATTCTTCAAGTATAGATGAATATATTAGAGACACAGGAGCCCAGATTTTTACAAGACTTTGCCAAATTGTAGCATACTTTTTAATATTTTGTGTAACTTGTGTATAAGTTGAGAAAGATCTTTCTGGTGAAATTTTTTAAATATATGATGCTCATGATAATTCAGATTCTGTTTTTAGCTTTTAATTATTGTACTGTTTTATATGCCAAAAGAGGCAAAATTGCAGGAAAAATGACATTGAGCTCTTTAAGTATTTATTGTCCTTGCTAAAGTATTTGTTGTCATTAGCAGACTTGGGCTCTGGCAGTTAAGCTCTTTCCCCCCTTTATGTCCATAGTGACACTTTATTATTGTCGTAATTATTTATTTAACCCCTCCCCTGTTTATTGTACAATAATACCTTCTAATTTAGCAGAACTAGAAAGTAGAGTAGATAAAATCACATACTGATAAACACACACACTTTAGTAATTGTCTTTTTCTACAAAGTAGGCAATTTCGCATATACTATTTTGTAACCAGCTTTTTTTTGTTTTTGTTTTTGGTTTTTTGTTTATAATTAAGCCCATTTTCCCATCGGTAAACATGGGTCCTAATCTCCTTGTCTGTTACTATGGATGTGCATACAGGACTTACCTACTCACCTAATATTGAACATTTATTTTCAGTTTGTCTCTATTATAAATAAATATTATAAATAGTGTTACAGGAGCATCCTGATATACAGAACATCCATGTGTGTGTATATATATATCTTTGTACACTTTGTACAGTTATTTCCTTAGAATACATTTCTAGAAGTAGAATTAAGACAAAAGCCATAAACACTTCTGAGGTTTTTTATTCTTAATGCCAAACTGTTCATTTAAAAAGTTGAACCAGCTACACTCCCAGTTCAGTTTTCTTTTGTTACGTTGACACTGAGTATTATAATTCAGCTAATTTTTGCCAGTCTGATAGACTAAAAGTAGTATTTTTGCTTCTTGGCCTTTTGCATTTCTTCGGTGAATTGACTATTCATGTCCTGTCCGTTTTTCTTTTGGGTTAACAGTACACTGTTAATTTGTTATTAATAAATTATTCTATCCAACAAATCCCTCTGACTCTGTAGCAATAAGCATAGTTGTATTCCTTTCACATGAGTAAGAGAAAAGAGGTCTGAGCAGTCTTTGAATCCTTCTGGACTTTTGTTCATTAGAATTTTGTTCATTACATTTTTGTTTTATCATCAATAAAAATTTCTGAATTGATAATGTTAGAAAAATCCAGTTAGCCTCCATTTGACATACTGAGTGACTCAAATGGGAGGTGGAAGAAAAGACTAGAATTGGTGTGCCATCATCTCTTATTTTAAATGTGCTTTATCTCCATTTTTCATAGGTCATTTGCTAAGATGCTGTGTATGTCAGCTTATTTTCAACTCTAGGTCCAAAAAAATCAAGGGCATGATTCCTGAAATTATTTTAGTCTGATTAAAACTAGTGAACACTATTAAAGCAGATGAAACCTGCCTTAGTGATTTTGATCCAGTCTTTTGTTTTTTAAAGTGATAGCAGATGTTACTAGTAATAATATTTCCTAGTGTATCAAATTTTGAGCCTACTAAAATGGTAAATTTGCTTTGTGTTTATTCTTGTCATCCAACTTAATGGCCCCTTGTTTCCCAATTATTTTTGATATTTAGTCATAACTAAAAACAATAAACAGAGCAGATCATTAGGGTAGATTCGAATTGTCAGTGTGGTCACGAATGCCCGAGTCACTGCCCCAATAGTAAGTAACACTTACTACTTCAGATTTTATTGCAGTGAACGTGAATTCATTATTATAGTGAGATTTTACCTGTATCACCTCTCTTCTTAATCTCAGTGATATTACCTCAAGGAAGATGCCATAATGGATAAAGATACCATGATGAAAGCTTTGCAGAGATGGTTACTACAGTAATTGGGTACTTCGATTTCTTTAATTTCCTAGAAGCACAGCACTAAATTCATCTTGTTTATTTCTTTGTTGAACTTTTTCAAGCCCTCTTAAGTCAGGGAAGTACGTAAGAACAAAAGGCTGAACACTTCTCCGTAGGTGCAGTGGTAACAGTAGTAATACTATTTTTCATCTGTCTAAGAAGACGATGTTAAATGTGCTTCCTGTACATTCTTTGAACCTCTGTAAATAGCTTTCACTTCATATTTGTGAACTCTGGTTTCTTTGGGATCAAAACACAAAAATATCTTCTTGTTATTCAAACATTTGAAATAAGTTAGCAGGAATCCTCTCCCAAACAAAAATACAATTACCTGCATACTTTATGACAAAAGAGCTTAAACTGGCACTAAATTTTTTTGAAACAGAACTCTTTTTTAACAGAGTAAAATCCTTTACATTCTTCTTTCACAAGTGGTCTACTTAAAGTAGGTCTTTTTCTGGGAAGCATTTCTTTCTGCTTCTAATCTCATAATAAATGTTGGTGTTCTCAACTGCTAGTATCCCACCTACAAAGTACATATTCATATCTAAAAATTTTTAAGATCTTTGGTTCTAAAAAGGGTAAAAGTTTTTCCCAATCAGTGTGGACACAGATAAATGAGTCAAGCCAGTGCTACAGCAGTTGTTCGATTTATGCATACTAACTGGAACTCTCTTTGTTCCTTCCTCTTTGGGAACTCGGGTACGTTTTGTATGTCTTCATAACTTGGAAAGCCTGCATTAGTCCTCCTTATTCTCTCAGAGCAGATTTCAAAATTAGAGAGGCACACAGATTTTTCCAGGCAGCCCCTGGAGTTATATTTTCTAATGAAGCCTTTATACAAGTACAGAATATGGAGCGCCTGGCTGGTATGCACCTCTTGATCTGGGGGTCATGAGTTTGAGCTCTGCATTGGGTGTAGAGATTACTTAAATACATAAACATTGTAAAAAAAAATTTTTTTTTAAGTTTTTAAATTATAGAATGTACTATTTGTCACATTTTTAAATTTCAAGTCTGTAGCCCAACACCATTCACAGTGTTTTGAGGATTATGAATAAAGATATAAAATGTTACGTTAGTGCTTTATTTAGTACAAAAATAGATTGTAGAACCTCAGTATAAAATTTTTATCAAAAACTTTTATGATTATTACCAATTAGGGAGATTCTTAAAGTCATACCTACAAGCAAAAATGCATTCTGAAATCTAGAAAACTTTATGTAGACATACATGTCACTGTAACATATTGATAACATCCTTTTGTGTAGAAAAATTATACCCCCAGAGTTAATAATTTTAGCAATTTTTGCCCTCAAACCATTACTGTATTTATTTCAAAATATGTGTAAACCTGGTTCTTATTCTGTATCCCTAATGAATGCAGTAGATTTTATGTAAAATAAGTAGTTAAACTTAAGAATAAATTAAGTGAAGTATATTATACACATTTCCAACTCTTCCCTGCCTTCTCTTAATGTACTTATTATATAAAACAAAACTATGATGTAAAGGTTAGAAAATGGAGCTTAGAAAAAAGTGTCTCTGCGTACATGATTAAAATAGAAAGTCCTTCAGAAACCATCTTTTTATCACTTCACTTCTGTTTATAAACACGTTTCAAACTAGGAGAGTTTGCATTTTAATAGCACTCACGTGAAATCTTACCAGCGAATGTGATTGTGGATTCTAGGAGTGTGAAATACTCAGTTTTATTTGCTTATATAAAATGTGTAGGAGTAATTTGTGATAGTTAAAAGCACAGGTTTTATTTAAATTTCAGTAAAAAAGGGGCGCCTGGGTGGCTCAGTCGTTAAGCGTCTGCCTTCGGCTCAGGTCATGATCCCGGGGTCCTGGGATCGAGCCCCGCATCGGGCTCCCTGCTCCATGGGAGGCCTGCTTCTCCCTCTTCCACCCGCCCTGCTTGTGTTCCCTCTCTCACTGTGTCTCTCTCTGTCAAATAAATAAAATCTTTAAAAAAAAAAAATTTTTTTTTTCAGTAAAAAAGACTAATTAATAATTTAAAGGAAGACACTAAAAGGTGATTATTTGTAAATGTTTGCATATATGAATATTTGCATTTTCCCTAAAAGAATGTGAAACAGTGAAATTGGAGTCAAAAAGATGGGGGATTGGTTATTTTTTAATGTGGCTTATATTCATGGTAGAAGTGAAATTTATCAGTGAAGTAATGAAAATTTTGTTATCTTTTCGTAGGGAAATCTTGCCATATAACAAACTTTCTATTATCTTTGTAGTCTTAAACATAGAAACTGGACTAGATCATCTCTTTGTGTCCCTTTTACCCTTAGTGTCACGTGATTTTATGTTTTAAGACATTATCTCTGTAAGGAAGCATTTTATGGTAAAGGAAGGAATTTTTTTTCCCAGAAAATGCTTATTTTGCTCACTTTATGCACATTAGGCCAATATATGTTATTTGAGTGAAGCATCTTCTTTCTCTCCGTTTCTCCCCCCTGTCATTAACCTGGATATGATATCTGGAATGTGGACTAAACTCTTCAACTCTATATAACATCTACTAATCTTTGTGCATTTGGTTGCTCAGCTTTCTCAGAACATTTCTGAACTGAAACAAACTGAATACCATTCTGTTTTAGAGATTATGTCATGGTTATTCATTGGATATGGATTCTTATGGCTTTATTTTTCTTTCCAAGGTTGAAGAGATGGTGCAAAACCACATGACTTACTCATTACAGGATGTGGGTGGAGATGCTAATTGGCAGTTGGTTGTAGAAGAAGGAGAAATGAAGGTAATTCCCAGTAAAATGTTATAGGTTGCTAACTGCAGCTCTGTTACAGTCATAGTATCATTACTAACTATTGATGTGAATGAGAGTAGCATTTTAAAATTCCTTTTAAACAAATTACTACATATGATCAAAGAAACACCAGATACTAAGAAGTAAAATGTACTTTGGTTTTTATGGAGTTTATTTTTTTTTAATTTTTATTTTTTAAAAGATTTTATTTATTTATTTGATAGAGACAGCGAGAGAGGGAACACAAGCAGGGGGAGTGGGAGAGGGAGAAGCACGCTTCCCGCTGAGCAGGGAGCCCAACTCAGGGCTTGATCCCAGGACCCCAGGATGATGACCCGAGCCGAAGGCAGACGCTTAACAACTGAGCCACCCAGGCACCCCTTTACACAGTTTCTTTATGATCACAATAAAAATCTATGTACAAACCGTTCTGTTTTGCCTGGGCCATGGAGAAAATAAAATTTGGGTGTTTAGGTATGAATAAGACATAATTAGTTGATGGCTCTCTATTTGGATATTTCTCTTTATTTTTTAATATACTAAATATTGTACCCAGATGTCACTTTGTTCCCCTTTTTCATCTATCCCTCACTTCTTGTCCTTTCTCTCATTGCATCCTGTTTCAATATTTGGAGATGGGTCTGCTAATCTTGTTCACATCCTTAAACACAAGAGACAGAGAATAAGAGCAAGGAATAGGATGTAGAGATGGATTCAAAACAGCAGCTGCATTGAATTTTGGAATACCTTATGCCCAAGGCACTATGCTAAAGATAAAGAGATTTTTAATAAGACTCTCTCCAAGCTGAAACTTTGGTTGGGAAAGGAGGATATTGACATTATTTGTTTCTGTCTGATAATGAATTCAACGAAGAGCACAGATAAGTAGTGGAGAAAATTGGAAAAGAAAGATCTCTGTGATTTGAAACAGATTGTTTTATACTGAGGAGAAGCATTTGAACTATGTCTGGAAATGGAAGCAAGATTGTGACAAAGGTGAGGCAAGGATATTTTAGATAAAAAATATAAACACAAGCGAAAACTTGAAAGCGAACTTCTTATTCAGGAGTTTTGCATAGACTGTGTTGACCAGAATTATTCTAGCAGTAGAGATACAATATCAGATGTTGGAATTTATTTTCCTCCTGAATAGGGAACTAATTAAGAAATAAGAAATAAGCAGATGAAATGCTAAATATTAGCTATATATCTAATAAGCTGATTGGAGAATATAACTTCAGAGTAGCAGTGACAAGGTCTTGCTAATATGTTACCTGAGAATTAAACATAATGATTCTGACATAGCTAGATAATCACAGGCCTTCCCCACAAGAGTAAGCCCCAGAAGAAAACCAAGACACATGCTCTCTTTAAAAAAAAGGGGTGAGCCAAGCCTTCCAGTCCTTATTCTATACTCAACATTCCGATAAATCATTGTTGCCTCCCGAGGGAAGAGAAAGTGAAGGATGAAGAGAAACCAGGAGTGATAGTCTAGATAAAGTCCCTCAGTGTGGAATGAGAAGTAGAGACTAAGTGTTCCTTCAGCCCACATCCTTAGAGAGGGATTGGATTATGGAGAGTATAAAATAGCCCACCAAGGAGAATAGTCTGTTGTCTATAGCAATAGGTTAGCCACTGTGTGCAAAGTAACATTTTAGGAAGACGAAGCTGATAAGGAAGAAACTAGAGACCAAGTATACCACTTAAGAGAATCAAGTACATGGGGATGAAAGCCTACCTAAAAGAAGTAACCAGTAGTATAAAAGTGAAGCTGTTAGATGTCTTACAGAATTTTAGTGACGAGCTTAAGAACTATGTGAAGTGTGAGGGGAGGAGTTAAAAGTCTAAAGTTTCCAATTTGGGTGACTGGGAAAATAGCAGTCCCAATAACATGAATAAATAAGCATGTAGGGAAAAGTAGTTTGGTGAGAGAGATTTTAAGAGAGAAACTATATGTGAAATGCCTAACAGTGTCTGGACCCATAAAGCACTCCATAAATTGAGAGCTAGTTCTTCCTATAGTAACATGATTACTCATTTCTCAAAAGAACTTAATACAAAACTCCCTAAAGTAACAAACCTATAATTTTGAGCTAATTAATTTTACTTAGCACTTTAGGTACACAACTTCAGTATTTAAAAGAAGATATATTGAATGGAGCACTGGGTATTATACGCAAACAATGAATCATGGAACACTACATCAAAAACTAATGATGTAATGTATGGTGATTAACAGAACATAATAAAATAAAAAAAAATAAAAGAAGATATAGCATAGGGGCTCATGGGAGGCTCAGTCAGGTAAGCCTCCAACTCTTGATTTTGGTCAAGGTCATGATCTCGAGGTCGTGAGATCAAGCCCTGTGTTGGGCTCTGCCCTAGGAGTGGAGCCTGCTTAAAATTCTCTCTCCCTCTCCCTCCCTTCTGCTCCTCCCCACCACTTGCTCGCTTGCACGTGCGCACTCTCTCTCTCTCTTCCTAAAAAAATTAAAAATAAAAAGCAAGATAGCATAGATCTTCATGCCATTTTAGCTTTGAGTCATTCAACAAATAATTGAGAGCCTGCTGTGTTTCAGATACTATTCTAGATGAGGGGTATATAGCATTGAACAAAACTGCCTTAAATCAGTATCCTTAAGGAGATTTTGTTCTAACCAGGCTTAATTTAACCACTCATGTAATTAGGTGTTCGTTGCAGATGCATGTTTTTCATTGTTGAAGTTTACCCCAAATTTGTAGTTTTAAGTATTTTTATGTGTTATCAATAATTTGAGATTTTGAATTTTCTTTTAGCAGAATATTTATGTACCATAAATAGAGATTTTCATAAATGAAATTCTAAAAAGCAGCAAAACTTAAAATCCTGCTTTCAGGTTTGTACTTTAGGAGTTTGATTTTTATTTTTTAAACAGGTTTTTAAATATATCCTCTTTAGGTATATAGAAGGGAAGTAGAAGAAAACGGAATTGTTCTGGATCCTTTGAAAGCTACCCATGCAGTGAAAGGTGTTACAGGACATGAGGTCTGCAATTACTTCTGGAATGTTGATGTTCGCAATGATTGGGAAAGTAAGCTGCCATTATTAATATATTCTAATATAATTATTATTTTGAATTTATTTTGAATAAACCCAGTGTTTGCATCTCATCTACAGTTTATAAAGTTAGTGTAGAAAATATCTAGAAAATCTGATAATAGCTTGCATTTACTTTTTTTTTTAACTTACATTTAAATAGAGCTTTACAGTGAAATAGAGCTTGTACAGTGAAAACACTGTACAAAATGCTTCTAACTATATTATAGCATTTGATCCAGTACTTCAATAATCCTGCATGATAGGTAGGTAAAAAAGTAAAATTCAGATAGGTTAAGTGACTTGTCGGAAGCCACAGAGCCTAATTAGTAGAAGGGCCAGGACTAAAATGAAAGGTTTCTGTTTTATCATCTACTTTCCCAGACTCTTTTGTTTCCCTAGTAAACCCTAGACAAGTCCTGCTGTGATCTGTTTAGAGTTATTCTTGGGGTATGTGTGTTGTGTGTGTGTTGTTTGTGTGTGTGTGTGTGTGTGTGTTTCCTCTTAGGCACCAAATTTCATAAATACAGGTAGTTTTGAACATCTTAAGATGTTTATTAATGACAGTTTGACATTCTTTTTTCACAAATATAGTCACCTAAGCCTTATATAGAACAGTTTATTCAGCTTCTGTAAATTAGAGATTACAGGAAACGGTCATAGTATTAGATAGGAATTTGTGTTTTGAATAATGCAATGTGATTAGAATTGCTTTCTTGTTGTGGAAGCTAGATATTGGGCCAAAGAAGTGAGATTTCCTGGTGATCAGGTCTCATGGCCACTGTCTGTAGCCCTAATACGAAGTATTAACTCCCTTCCCTTTGGACTTAGCCAAGATAGGGCAGAATCCTGCTCATGTTAACACAGTGTCCATCAGTATAACTGAAGTTAATCACATTCTAGGAAGAGGTAATATATCTTTTTGGCTACTAATGTTTTCTCTTCATTTCAGCAACTATAGAAAACTTTCATGTGGTGGAAACATTAGCTGATAATGCAATCATCATTTATCAAACGCACAAGGTAAAGATCTCTTCATCCCAAAAGGATTTCACTGTAGTTCAAACTGAGACATAGAAATTCTCTAAAGTGGGGTGCCTGGGTGGCTCAGTCGTTAGGCATCTGCCTTCGGCTCAGGTCATGATCCCAGCGTCCTGGGATCGGGCCCCACATTGGGCTCCCTGCTCTGCGGGAGGCCTGCTTCTCCCTCTCCCCCTCCCCCTGCTTGTGTTCCCTCTTGCTGTGTCTCTCTGTGTCAAATAAATAAATAAAATCTTTAAAAAAAAAAAAAAATTCTCTAAAGTAAAATTTGGTAGGAAATTAAATGCCATAAAAGATCCAAAGACTTTTTTAATGATGCAAGAATGTCACCTATTTGAAAGGATATCAGCTTCTTTAAAGAGAACCTGAGACAAGAACCTGAGAAATATCCAGGAACAGTGTGTTTGATAAAGATCATCAGCTAGTTATGTGCCCTTAAAGTTTAGGAAATACTGATACTCTGCTAAATGTTTTTGTAGCATCTAGTATTTATAGGAGATGAGTGATCGTTACCAAATACAAAAGTGAATCATAGTTTCCTGTGACCATAGTAATGAGGGGAATGGAAAGTATGTTATTAATATATGTTAAGACTGGTAGATAATGAAAGTCATCTAAGTGGATTATCTGAAAGCAAGTGAAAATTGCTAAGCATAACTATTAAGGAATTGGTCATATATCAGAGAATACAGAAACGTTGTCATTTAAATTGGTTCACCTTTCATTTCACTTTTACTTCATCTCTTCCTCTGCTATTCTAGATGTTTAAAATGGAAAAATTAGTATTTCTCTTACCTTATTCTGCTCTGTTCCCTGAAAATTGCCAAATAATATATTGTGTAAAGAACAATAAACAGGTGTGGTACATGGGAAGATGAGCAAAATAAATGAAGGGAATTAAGAGGTACAAACTTCTGGTTATAAAATAAATAAATCACAGAGATGAAAAGTACAGCATAGGGAATGTAGTCAGTAATACTGTAATAAGGTTACAGTAACAGAGATGGTGACTACACTTATTGTGGTGAGCACTGAGTAATGTATAAAATTGTCAAATTCAATATGTTGTACACCTGAAACTAATATAACATTCAATTTTAAAAAGGAACTATAATTTTGGAAAGATCCATTCAGCGTAATATTGTAGGTTATATAAGAAATACAGTAATTCAGTAGGTACTTCATTTTTCTCTTCTTTATTTAAAGCTTTTTAATTGAGCTGAATATATGACAATATTGTGGGTTCTGTATTTCTTGAACTCAGTTTTGTCATGGGAGGCATCTTGTATGTAATGATTTTGAGCTGGGCTTGATTTTACATGGTAGCTGCTCAAGAAATGTATAAAAAATAAATTATTGGTCAACTTTGCTTCAATTAAAAAAGAAGTGTGTAACAATGAAGATTCTGCTTCAGCATACAGATTAAGGGAAACTTAAAATTCAATAAATGTTAAAAATGCCAATTAATTGTCTTATAATTTAGAATGAATAGAAATGACTAATAATTTAGAGTCAGAAGAATCTTACAATCTGAAGATAATTGATCTTGGCAAACAATCTGCTGACAGTATTTCACTTCATAAAAAACCATCAAAAAGGATTTAGATAGGTTGTATTACGATCATTTTTTGAAAAATAAAGCTAAAAACTATTAAAATAATGTCACTTAAATGTAATAAAATTTAAGTTAGAGTTATAAGTGTTTGAATAATTCAAACAAATTGTCCTGGCATAATTTTTTTTCAACAAAATTCAGTAATGCTATACAACTTTCCCTTTAAATTTGGCTTATTTTATAATCTCATCTTGAAGAGGGCTACTTTTCTCCTGATACTTAAGTCATTCTCATTCTTTAAATTTTCATCTTTCTGTCATCCTTGTGGATTTGCATTCATTAGTTCTAACACAGCCAAATTTTCCTTTATTTTTGGCTTCACATAGATTTGCTCAGCCTGCTTTCTTCTATTTTTGAAATTTAGCATCTTTAAAACATGAACCATTTCACTTTCCGAATGATTTGTGTTGTATTGACACTGTTGTTGGCTATTTATTATACTCAACAATTAGGAAAGGCATTGCACATATTTTCTCTCATTAAAAGTACATAGTCTCACTTTTCATAGCCCTTGTTGCCATATCATTTCAACATGATATGTTTCCTTACATACCATAAAGTTGAAAGATTCAATCTAATTGATTTGGTATTCTTCAGATGTGATTGTGGTATAAAAAGGAGAGTCTTCTTACCCTGAAATCTTAGCTTTTAAGTCTCTGAACACTTTAAACAGAGGTTTAATACTGTACTTAGAAGCAGAACATTACCAGGGACTTGGGGAGGGGGAAATGGGGAACTAATTGTTTGCTGAGTACAAAGTTTCTATTCGGGATGATAAAAAATTTTGGAAATAGTGGTGATGTTTACATAATATTATGAATGTAATGTCACTGAATTGTACACTTAAAAATGCTTTAAATGGCAAAAATTTTGTTATATATAAACATGTATACATTTATAACATATATACATATAAACATACACAGTTTTAAAATTTTTAAAAAATAGATTATTCCTTTGATGCTGTTATTCTGCAAAGCCATTAATTCATTGTTCATAATTCTTGGCTGGGTACTTTCAGATGCTTTCCATTTAAAATTTGACAGATTTTACCTTTGCCTAAGATATTTATTGGTTTTACATTTGTTTCTCTGTTAGTTCTGTATTACATATGAATTTAAAAGTGGTTTATATTTTCAAAAGATATTTTACTTCTTCCACAGAGAGTGTGGCCTGCTTCTCAGCGAGATGTATTATATCTTTCTGCCATTCGAAAGATCCCAGCCTTGACTGAAAATGACCCTGAAACCTGGATAGTGTGTAATTTTTCTGTGGATCATGACAGTGCTCCTGTAAGTGCACTTGTATAAATGTGTATAGTCATACAGTATAAAGCTAAACAGTGCAGAACAAGAGTGATAAGCACATACGACACACATTTCTTAGATTTTGTTTTATGTCTGATTGGTTCCTTGGAACAGTATAGCCCGTGTGTTACCCAAGGGCAGCAGTGATGGCTGTGAACACCCGGCAGGGGCTGTTTTCCTTTCCTCCTGAGGTTAGACGACACAGAACTGAAGAGGTAGATAGTGGAAGGCTGCTTCCACAGTTCTCTCTCAAGCCATGATCAACTGCTAGCAAAACCTCTGGGGTTCTACCTCGGTTTAGGCCCATCTACTACTTAAGAGGGGAGAAAATTATTCCTGCTGTCATAGCAGCTTGGCATGTCATCTGTTGGTCCTTATAAGATTTGGTTGGAGAGGTTGGTAATGAGCTGTGGTTTTGGATAACCTAATGTACTATTAGACCAGTAGGGATTATAAAATACTAGGCATCTCCTATACTGATGTTTCGTTTCTGTTATTTGTTTTGGCAGCTGAACAATCGATGTGTCCGTGCCAAAATAAATATTGCTATGATTTGTCAGACCTTGGTAAGCCCACCAGAGGGGAACCAGGAGATCAGCAGGGACAATATCCTATGCAAGATTACATATGTAGCTAATGGTATGTATTTGGGGGTTCTTTTTGCAACTTGGTCATACAGATTTTCTTTTTCCTTTTTCTTTTCTTTTTTTTTTTTTTTTACTATTTTTTTTTTTAAAGATTTTATTTATTTATTTGACAGAGAGAGACACAGCAAGAGAGGGAACACAAGCAGGGGGAGTGGGAGAGGGAGAAGCAGGCCTCCCGCCGAGCAGGGAGCCCGATGTGGGCTTGATCCCAGGACCCTGGGATCATGACCTGAGCCGAAGGCAGACACTTAATGACTGAGCCACCCAGGCACCCCTTTACTATTATTTTTAGTAATCTCTACACCCAACAACACACAACCCCGAGATCAAGAGTCACATGCTCTTCTAACGGAGCCAGCCAGGCGCCCCTTGATTTTCTTACTATGATCTAAATGTCTTTTTAGTTTTTTATCATTTAGATTAATGATTTTTAATTTGGAGAGATGTGTATCAAAATTATCAGGCAACTTGAAAATACCCATGTCTGAATTTCACCCCAGAACTACTCTATCAGAATTTCTGAGACTGGGGCTGGGTAGATAAATTTTAATATTTCATCTCTAGATCACTTTCACATATGCTTGGCTTTAAGAACCATCTTATTATATATTTGTCTAATAAAATATATGTATAACTGGGAGTATAAGCAATAATGATTAAGGAAATTAACAGTTCTTTTTCTCATTGTCAGGCTTTTTTGTTTTCTGAATCATTGCCTGCTTAAGTTTCTTACTGCATCCATTTCCGACCTGCAAGAGTCACTGGAGTCCCTTTAATCAAATCCTCAAATCTTCTTTTATACAGGGACATAACTGCTACTACATTTAAAGAGACAGTTTGATTATAGTAGAGTTTGACAAATCTAACATAACCTAAAGTGTTGCTGTATTAATATTTGCATATAATTTGGGGAGCCAGGAACATTTTAGCCAGGTAATAAATGCTTTCTTATTTGGTGTGTTCTTGTCTGGTGGTAGCACGAAGGAATTAATGGTCAGGTCAGGACTTTAAGAGATGTTAACTATTCCAACTTGAGAAATTTTTTAAAAGCAAAGGAACAAAATGAGTGCTTCGCATACATTTGGAGAATTGTATCTTAACAGGTTTTAGTTTTCCTTTATCTTGCAGTGAACCCTGGAGGATGGGCACCAGCCTCAGTGTTAAGGGCAGTGGCAAAGCGAGAGTATCCAAAGTTTCTAAAACGTTTTACTTCTTACGTCCAAGAAAAAACTGCGGGAAAACCCATTTTGTTCTAGTATTAACAGGTACTGGAAGATATATATTATCCTTTTTTAAAAATTTTAATATAAGCTTGCAGATATTAAAATTTAGTTAATTGTTGGAAGTAGTTTCTATGTTTTATGATGTTCCCAGACAAAGTTGTAGTAGTTTTGGCCTTCAAAATGTGTTTTTTTCCTGCTTATGTTAGATAGTATCTGCTTATGCAAAGAGATTTTAACATTATGGAGCCATAGAATTCCAGAAGGACAAATTCCCCATATTTTTCCCTTCCCAGAAATTACTTTAGGTTCGTTGTTTATTCTTCCATACTTTTGTATGTATGTTGTGAGTGACGTATATTATTATTTTTTAAAAATGTGTTTATTCTATACTTATTGTTTGCAGCTTGCTTTTTCTACCCTACAATATATCTTGACTGTTACTGCGTATAAAGATATGAGACATATAAAACTATCTCATTGCTTTAAAATCTGTTATATGAATGTTGCAGAATATATTAGCCCGTCCCACATTAATGTCTGGATCGGTTCCATATTTTGACTGCCAAACATGCGCTGAACGTCTTTGCACAAAGAGCTGGAATGTTTATTATTATTATTATTTTTAAAGATTTTATTTATTTTTTTGACAGAGACACAGCGAGAGAGGAACACAAGCAGGGGGAGTGGGAGAGGGAGCAGGGAGCCCGATGCGGGGCTCAATCCCAGGACCCTGGGATCATGCTTATTATTATTTTTAATAAAGATTTTATTTATTTATTTGGGGAGAGAGAGAGAGAGCATGTGCAAGCACGGGGGGAGGGGGAGAGGGAGGAGCAGACTCCCCACTGAGCAGGGAGCCCAATGTGGGACTCGATCCCAAGACCCTGGGATAACGACCTGAGCTATGTTAACATGGTTCATAGTCTGAAAAGATAAACAGTGACATTTATCCCTTGTCCCCTACTCACCCAGTTTTGCCCTCCCTCCAGCCCCAAACAGAAAAGCAAAACTGATTTACTAGTTTCTTGAGTATGTTTTCAGAGAATTTTTTATGCCTGAACAAGCAAATACACGTGTATTCCTCCCACACATGCATTTTTTTGTTGTTGTTTAAGAAAACACACTGTTCTGCATCTTGTTTTCGCACTTGCTTTACTTTAAAGGTCTTTGCATAACACTATGGACCTCCCTCCTTATTTTTTTGCGGCTACACAGTATCCCAGCATACGGATGCACATAATTTATCTAACCACTGCTAGACATTGAGGTTGTTTCCAGTGTTTGCTAGAACGGTGTTATAATTATATCCACTTGCAAGTTGATATGTGGAATAAATTACTAGATATGACACTGCCAGCACCTCTAGGGGGTTTGTGCATTTATAATTTAGGTATCACCCCCTTATAGAGGTTGTAGTAACTTACTGTCTCACCAGCAATAGCGTATTGGGGTGCCTATTTCCCTGGACCCTCTCATTCGGTGTATGAAATAGAACTTGGATTGTTCCACCTTGGTAGGTAAAAAATACTCTGTCAATGTAGTTGTTGTATTTCTCTTCAGTTTGAACATTTCTTGGTCTGTTTGAGAACAATTTGTATAATTCTGTTGCTGTGAACTCTCAGTATGTGTTAACATTTAAATTTTTGATAGAGATTACCAAAGTATAACTCATAAGTCACAAGTATTTATGAATGTCCTCTCATTCTCTCCTATATTGAGTATTAAGTTATTGGCTGAGAAATGTATATTCTTGAGTCACTTTCTTTAGATAAAAGTGATACATTCAATAATTATATAATGACTGATATTTTTAACTAATTCTGATTTCTGATGCTGTTTTTGGTATGCCTTTCTTAAAGGAAAAAAAACCCTCAAAGACTAAATTTATTGTCATATACTAACACAAGAGTTGTTGAAGTGATGTCGCAGAGACTTAGCTTTTCCCGGGAGAAAGCTTACCTGAAAATGTTAAACAGATTCTGGTCTCATCTGAATGCTTAGTGTTTTGGGATACAGCCTAAGCTTTGAGAGACTCTTTCTTCAAGCATAAGTGCACTGCATAAATGTGCTGGCAATTTTTAGAATATCTTGTACTTTAGAATTGTTACGGCTAGATCTGGACATGAAATGTGCTGGTTTTGTCTCTGCACTGTTATCTCAAATAAACCAGAAACGTGATGCCACGTGATGGCAGCAGGCTTGTCACTTGACTTAGCTGGATGTCTCTCCCCACAGCCTTAATTAAGATGGCTAAAGAATGCTGTTTGCTCTAATCAAGACCAAGTGTGCAGCTGTAATCTGCTTGCTCTCTTCTTCACCTCTACCCTGAGCCTTGCTGATAAGCAGGGCAGAAAATATAACTGTGTATTAAGCAAAAGAAATGAAAATGCAGTTACAACTAGAACATGCTCTCAACTGCGTGCGAAAAGAAGAATTTTCTTAAGCATTTGAAAAATACATACTAATAGTCTTAACAATATTTGCCTCAGAACTGTTGGATTTGGGGCATTGTTTTATTGGCTGTGTGAGTGTGTGTCTGTGTGTGCACACGCATACATATGCACACAGGACCTGGAGGGGAGGGGCTTGAAATTCATCTCAGAGGAAGGAGGAAGCATTGTTTTGGGGTGAATGTGAGTGTGTGTAAAGAGAGACCTGAAAAGATTCACTGGCCAAAAGTTAGCTCTGGCCTTGAATCCAGTTGAGCTTTCTGACAAAGAACCAAATTCAAACCTTAACACATGGTGAAAAATCTTTGTTTACCTATAGTAGTATTTGTTTCACAATGTTTGAAAAGATGTATGTATGAAGTGGATCCTAGCATAGAGTGGGGGGGGGGAGGAGAGAATCTTAAGCAGGCTCCATGCTCAGTGCAGAGCCCGATGCGGGGCTTGATTTCAGTACCCTAAGATCATGACGTGAGCCGAAATTGAGAGACGCTTAACTGACTAAGCCACCCAGGCGCCCCTCATAGTCAAAACTCTAAAACTTATGTGACAATGTCTGAGTATGTTGGGTTTTTTTTAAAGATTTTATTTATTTATTTATGTGAGAGAGAGAATGAGATAGAGAGCATGAGAGGGGAGAGAGTCAGGGAGAAGCAGACTCCCCGTTGAGCAGGGAGCCCGATGCAGGACTTGATCCCGGGACTCCAGGATCATAACCTGAGCTGAAGGCAGTCGCTTAAACAACTGAGCCACCCAGGCACCCAAAACTTGTAAATTCTTGATAAATGATATTGTATAGCATAATTTTTATTGAAGGCTAAGAAGAAAGAAATGCTGGATTGGGGGCTACAAATCCAGAGACTTCTGATTGATTCCCTCTTTGCTTATTTATCTGTGGCGTATTTCCTTTTTTTTTTTTCTAGCTTTCGAAATATTCCTTAGGCCTTCTATTCCTTGCTGATGAGATAAGTTTTAAATATGTAAGGTTAATAAGTTTATATTTTTAAAGGTGGAAATCTTTAAAGCATAAATTTCTAATAGAGATCTATGCATTCCATGAATTCAGAGGGTAGGAGGAACCTGTTTGGGTAGTCCTGTAGCTGTTAGTAATAATATATTGCTTAATTTTTTACTTATTTTCTTTCCTGCAGTGACTGAAGCAAGGCTGTGTGACATTCCATGTTGGAGGAAAAAATAAAAAACAAAATTGAATGCTCTAAGCTGGAACATAGGATCTATAGCCTTGTCTGTGGCCCAACACCCTGGCCTTGTGTACAAAAATGAAGAAAGACTGCAATGGCAAAGGTGAACATCTAACACTAGCTGTCTCCTGTTAGATCTCCTCGCTCAGCATATAACTATAAATACATGTAATATTACATGTATATGGCTATATTTTTATTTGCTTGCTCCTAGAAGAGAGAAAAATCAACTTTGAATCACAGTTAGGAATTGATGCTTTAATTTTTGGAAACTTTTTCAGAATTTTTAATTTACTATGGTCCGGCCTAAGATCCTCATTTGTATCAGGTTTTGTGCACAAAAGAAAAGCACAAAAGTTGAATGCACGTGGGGGCATGTGTTTTCTGTGCACCACATACCTGGATGGGGCTCCTTTTTCAGGCCTATGGTTAAATCTGTGTTCAGAATTTTTTGACTTTTTTGCTTTGTATAATCATAGAATTCATTGCTGCTGATTTCTATAATGATTCATGTTGTTACCTAGTGTCTCTTAATAACTGAGGGCTGTCAGTAACCTGTGATTTTGCCTTTTCTATAGTCTTACTCCTATGAAGAACCTTGGTTCTGATGGAGAAAGAGTGAAAAGCTTTATTTTTTCCCCCAGGTATCTTTCTATTTCTATTGTATTTTTAGTTGTGTACTGTGTGCTACAGATTTTTTTCAGTTTGTTTACAAACACAATGTGGTAATTCCTCAATTGGTTCTGCCTGCCTCCAAACAGAAACATACAACTGTTGTGGGTATAAACTACTTTCTGGTACAATAGTAAGGATAAAACAAGCTCATGTTTTCTTGAAATTTGTTAGAAGATACACGGTATTTCTCATTAAGGTAAATCAGGCTGTCTGGGTTTGACATTTGATTCAGTGTCTCTGGTATTCGTAACAGGCATGTTAGCTCTTCTAATTTGGGTCCATTTAAAGGCTTTGTTGCAAGATGTGCATAGAAAACGTGAGCAGTGCTCCTCTTTGCCTCTGGCTCAGAATTTTCAGCAAAGCAGTAAAGGATTCCATGTGATTCAAACTGAAATTCTTCCCTTAGTTGCTGTAAGAACTTAAATGTAAAATACCTTCTTTAGTTTTAGGCCTCTGAAAAACCTTGAAGCATGGAGTTGAGGCAAGGAATGGGACTCACTGAAGTAGAAATGACTGCCCACTTCAAAATTTTCATTGTGTTTATACACAAATGTGCTTACATATGTCAGAGGCATTTTTAGATGCTTTGCTGACTTGTTCATCTCTGTAGAAACACAGAAATCAGACCCATTTTGTAAAGCAGAAAGTCATGTCACTTGGAACATGTCCTGTATATATTTCATACATGGTAATGGAGTCTTAATGATGAATGCAAGGTGATAATTTAATGATGGGATTAGTCTGATCACTTAATATGCACAATCCTGGAAGTGAATTACTTGCATCAGATATAGTGGTATTTATTATTCTGTACAGAGAGAAATAATACATATAAAACATATGCTTATATTACATGCACGCAGATTTCATGCTCCATAAATCTTTTCTATTTTTTAATTTACCTTTCTCTAAATGATGTGCATGGAATATGCCTTATTACAGAAAAACGCTGTTCATAATTTGACTGTGTGGAAAAGTGCCTATATGGTGGTAATGCTAGTAAGGCAAATAAGACAAATTATCATATGAGTTTACTACATCACCAGTTAACATTTTATATTGTGATGTTTAAAAAAGAAAAGTTTATACCTCAAATGTGTATTTTATTTTACAATCAGCTGTGGGTTTGGGATGGGATATGGGAGGGTTGGGGGGGAGGGTTTATTCACCATTGCCACTGATGGGAATCTTCAAAAAAATTCTCTATGCCCACTATAAATGTTTCTCTGTTTGCCATGTCTGGTAACTATCATGAACACGGACAAGTAACTTTTTCATAACTAAATTGGATAGCTTCATTTTAAAAAGGTATGGAAAGCTTACAAAGCAGTGTCTAAATCTAATTACCTTTAGTTGCATTTGCACTAAATGTTAATGATACACTTTTGCAATTCTGTAAATGAAATGATTACACTAAAAACACTTGTATTAAAAAAAAGAAGAAAAAGACATGTTTACCTTTAGATAACTATACAGGTACTTCACTAGAGTTTAATCCCATCCGATCAGATTTAGAAATCAGTTGGGGAATACGGAAAGAGTTTTAAAGAGGTCAAAATTTGGAGAGGTACTAGCCGTTCTAAAAAATATTCAGACCCTCTAGGATTGTATCTGTATGACTAATTCCTAGTCATTGTCTGAATGGACATGATGTTTTCCCAAACACAGTAATTTCTTCTCTTCCCCAAACAAAACAAAATACCCTTTTACTCTCTTTTCTACTCACTCTTTTGTACTGTGATAGAAACTTGAAAAATATTGGTAATGATGGGTTTGTCCCTGAGTGCCCACTGTACAGGACAAGAGAGCACAGTGTTTCGCTTGGAAATGAGGACTCCTAATTTTGATCACAGCAGCTCTTGGTTTGGGATCGCCACAAAGACAGCCAGACTAAGGAGGGGATGGCTGGGAGAGAGGCGTAAGAATACAAAATAAGGGAAAGGAGCAACAGGTTTTCCACTTGTTCAGTTTCATTGGCTAATTTGTACACCTGTACAAACATCAGTGTCAGCTGCTATTAAAATTTTAGTTGGGCTGAGCTGGTTCTCTTGTGAAATTGTGCTGGTTATCTTTAAGCTTATCAGTTGTTTGTCCAATTAAACACTTTCACCAGTATTTAGTCCAAGTTGTACAGACAGTGTATTTGGAATACTGTCATTGTTCATCTACAAACTCAAAACATAATCATTTTAAAGTACCTTGGGAGTGTGTAGAGTATAACTATTCTATAATAGCTTTATGATCCTGATGATGTTTTTAAAAAATAATAAAGTTGGATCTTCCATGTTACAATCACAAAATTAAAACCAGTATTTAAAAGTGGAAAAGTATTAAAATATTATGGACAAATGTATTTGCTTGATTGTTTTCCTTAACCCCAAGATACTGCCTGCATAATTCTGAGTAGTTAAGAGCTTAAAATAACTTGGGCGCCTGGGTGGCTCAGTTGGTTAAGCGACTGCCTTCGGCTCAGGTCATGATCCTGGAGTCCCTGGATCGAGTCCCGCATCGGACTCCCTGCTCAGCAGGGAGTCTGCTTCTCCCTCTGACCCTCCCCCCTCTCATGTGCTCTCTCTCTCAAATAAATAAATAAAATCTTTAAAAAAAAAAAAGCTTAAAATAACTCGACTTCAGTAGTTTTTAAACTGGATTGTAACCCAGTTAGGGATCAAGAAAACAACATAAATTTTTTTTAAACAAAATAGAACAGAATGGAATAGATCAAGTACATAACGTGAATATTTCATATTTTGTGGGTCTTTATACATATGTATATATATACACACACATGCATAGTGGATTACAGTGTGAAATGAATTTCTTACTAAGGAAGCTGGTCCAGAATTTTTTCAAATTGCTGAAAAAGTAAAGCCATATGCAGTTGGGTATTTCTAAAATGAAAGCACAGTGCCAGCCGTGCACACTTATAATTCAACTACATGTACTTAGCCATAAATAAATCATCTCATTTATTTATTTAAATAATGTGGCCAACACCACTTGTTACACTTAGGAAATATATGCCCTAGAACAACCACAAGATGGGAAGTGTGGATTTGCAATTCACTCAGTCAGTGAGTTCCTCCATGGGTTATATTGAAAGGCACTGAGCATATTTCTCTCCTAGTGCTCAAAGATACATGCCATCTTAAAAGGACGTGACCTCTAAACACAGGCTGACTACTTAATCTGGTGGGGTGCTAGAGAGAAAATCTGGCTGTTGTATTGGACTTCTTTTTTTAATGTGTTACATTTATTGACAAATAGTATGTGGTCCTCATGGCACACTTGTAAGTAGTTTTTAAAGAGTGATTTTAAGTACAGGCACTTTTTGCCTTAGGCTTGACCTGAAATATAATGTGCAAATAAGTATAGTTCTAACTAGCTACTTCAGATTGAGTTGGTTTTATGGCATCTTCTAGATTTTGCCATTGTTTGAGCTAGATTACAACAGGACTCATTTTGTTAGCATTTGCATTGTTTACCCATTAAAACAAATTGTTTATGAACCTTCCATGTCTGTATACTTTGGATAGCCTTAAACAAATATAAAGGTACTTTCTGGCCTCTTCACTCTCTTCCACAGAATTCAAGTTTAGTACTAGAACAAATGTTAACAGTCTTTAAACATCCTAAAAGATGTCCAGCCAGGATTTTTTTACCCAGGTTTTTTGATTGTTGAGGTGCGGAATGAGGACGTCTCCGTTCAGTGTCTGTACCATGCACCATTCCTGCCTTTCAATGAACTTCTTCCCTTACAGGGTTGCTGCTGCCAGTTGGTGGTGGGGCCCGCCCTCTTCTGCCGTGAGGGACCAGGGGGCTGCCAAGGGTTCCAGGCCCATTGAGTGACTCCGAAGGCTTGTCTTTTCATTAGATTCTGCTGATTCTGACTGCCTTAGGTATTTAATATCTAGAGTATAGGGTTTGTCAGACTAGAAAGAACTGACATCCTCGAAGACTAGCGTTTTTGGTATATGGGTCTTAACATACTTCACTATTGGCTTCACAAAAATCCCAAATACCTGTGTGTCGTAAAATCCCACCAGATGTATAAATGTTATCTTAATAAATTTGACCATCATTAAATGCCTTAACTGCCTTCCTGTCCTCTAGCTCAGAGGGGTAAGACAGGGAACTCTTATATTAAAAAAACAAAAACAAAAAACCAAAAAACCACCAACAAGCCCAAGGAGGTTTTTTATTGAAGTTTTCAATCCAAGGACAACCTCCAACATACAGCTATCGTTGTTGGTGTGAGCCACCTCCTGCTGCAAAATGACCACTGAGGTAGCAACTAAAGCAAGCCGTAGATCCCCTTCCGGTCAGTTCGCTGTGGTTCTTTCGTAGTACTCTTCCTTGGAATTGGGAGGCCAAAGCGGGTCCAGCAGAGGGGAGTCTGTGTGCAGCAGCTACATTAGGATATAGTCAACGTCCAAGGCGTATTAGCCATGTGTATAAACAGTATAGATAGCATTAATTCTCCAGCACTCAGCAACAATTCCCAGAGCAAATATTTATTGAGCACCTACTACATGCCACACAGTGTTACAGGAGTGGAGATATAATAAACAGAACATCTGGCCTATGTTGTTTTTGTCATAACCAAGCTTCTTAGAAATGTATCCTAAGAGGAAATAGGCTTTGTAATCAGAAGCATTTGAGTAAGGTGCATTGAATGATATATTTAGCCACATTTAAGATATGCAGAAGTGTTCCTGTTGTTGTTTTGATTCTTGGTTCTCAGCTGTGTTCTCAAGTTAGGTAGGATATGGGTTGTTGCTGTGTTTTAACAAGTCCACCAACTTCTGTCCATGTTGATGGCACCAAATTAATTGGTAAGTTGTCTAATTATTCACTTTAATTTAAAACTGCTATTATTTGTGGTTTATGACTTTTCACTTTTCATTCCTAATATCTGGTAGAGTTTCTGTTATTTTTAAGTGAATTTCTTATCAGGTTCTGATTTCCATGTGTTTAACGTACCAAAAAGGAATGGCTTAGAAGACGGAAGACGGAGTTTTTCAGGCTCTCTCACTTAAACAGTTTTGATCTTGCCAAGTCATTTCAGTGTCTGAATCTCTTCTTTTCTATAAAGGAATACAAAATCACCTACGTCACAGGGTTCTTTGGGGAAGAGTGAGATAATGTATTTAGAACTTTCTGAAAACTTAATCTAAAGCACTCTGCAGGGAGCCTGGGTGGCTCAGTCGTTAAGCATCTGCCTTCGGCTCAGGTCATGATCCCAGGGTCCTGGGATCGAGCCCCGCATCGGGCTCCCTGCTCTGCGGGAAGCCTGCTTCTCCCTCTTCTAATCCCCCTGCTTGTGTTCCCTCTCTTGCTGTGTCTCTCTCTGTCAAATAAATAAATAAAATCTTTAAAAAAATAAATAAAGCACTCTGCAAATGTCAGGAATTATTTAGTCAACCACAGACTTACTAGGTATTGTCTTTTGAGCTGAATGACAAGATGCAAACATTTGGGGGCTTAGGGCCCAACTGTAAGTTACTTGGCTTGTGCACGGTTTTGCGTGCAGGTGTATGTCCAGGAAGGGAGAAAACGGGAGGCAGAGGCAGTTCGTGGAAAACCTCTAAGGCTATGTGAAATAGTTGGGAGTTGATTCATTCTACCAGCACTGAAGGGCTTTTTTGAGCATTACTGTTTGACACATCTAAGAAAAATCAATGGGGCTTGGTGCCTGGTTTTGTTTGGATGTGGAATTAAGTCGACTGCTAATGTCATTTTTCCTTGTAAATAATTCTCATGCCAATGTCAGAAATGGGGAGGGGAAATAACGAGTTTTCAAAACTGGAGAAATGGAAGTGCTAGCATTGTACTTCAAACTGGAGAAGGCAGGCAGTCCCATGTTTATGAAGTAGCAGCTGAATGGGAAAGAGTTCCAAGCTGGAGAATCGCATAGAGAGTCTCCTCAGTGATGTCTTTGCCTTTCTCCTACGATCAGTTCTTTCCTCTGCCACTGTCAAATTATCCTGTAATACCTAATGCCTCTTGCTTTTAAATGTTTTGCCAGTGCTGCTGTCTCTAGAACAGAGTCCACACTCCCTGACTTCAGTCTGATACCAAAGTTACTTGTAAGAGTTTGGCCGCACCTTGTCTGCCTTGCCAGCCTGACTCGCCTTGGTCCCCTCTACAAATCCATCACCCCAGTCAGGTGGATTTCCTCCATGTCTGTCAGCAGTCAGAAGCAAGTTACCTTCTAAGGAACTTCTCTCTCCTCCCTTCAGTCAACATTCAAAACCTACTTCGGGGTTCTAATTTCTGACCTTAATTATACCAGCCCCTCAACTCTCCCTCTTCAGTTCTGTTGTGCTTTTCTTCCTCCAGAGTTGGATTCTGGAACTACTGTGAGGTTGTATTAGTCTAACAGCTGTGCTAATAAGCTAGATTCCAGCTTAGCCCCACTGGCTTGTAAGCCTAAGAACACAGCCTCCCCACCACCACCCTAAAATCAGCAGTTTCAATAGAATGTATGTTTGAGGCAATAAATAGGTACTGAAAAAGAAGAGATGGATAGGTTGTAAAACATAGTCAATGGAGCTGAGAGGGGCAGAGGGTTTTTAACTTCAACCAAAGGTATGTATTTGAAAACGGGGGATAAATGGAGGATGGGGTAAAGCTGCCAAGAAGGGTATGTCACATACAAAAGGAGGAGACCCAGGAAGAGGGACACCACTATCATCTTTTCCCCTGGGATGTAAACTTTAGGAAGCCATGCAGCTCTCACAGCCAGGGACGGTAGCATCGCAGAGCCGGTGTGGCAGTCCAGAGGGGTCTAGCTGAGCAGCTGCTGAGCCCTCATGAAAAGGGAGGCCACTGGCTAAGCTGCCACTGCCCACAACCCCCGTGGTATCCTGTAGAAGGTACTGGGCTGTTCCCTAAAGTAGACAGACGTGAGATCCATTCCACAGCCACTGACAAAATACCTCCTGTTTCCATCTCTGGGTAATAGAATGATTCTGTTTATACAGAAGAGCCTAAATACAGCGTTTCATAGAATATGTAGAGCTACATAAGGCCTTAGAAACCACTAATGCCATTGTCTCATTTCATAAATAAAAAGAGAAAGAGACATGAAGCAAATAACCTAAGGTCTCTCAAGTAGTTAGCACCAGAGCCACGGCTGGAATGGAGGTCTCTGAATTCCCATCTCCCTCCACACTGCTGTCCTCTTCCCCTGTGAATGACTATTTTCTCTTTGAAATCAGTCTTGATTATACTTACTGTGTCAGCCATTCAATAGCATTGAGGACCTTTAAATGTAAGGTACTGCACTAAGGTAACAAGAGAAGGCATGGTCCCATCCCTGTCTTCAAGAGACCTCCATTCAGTCTAGAGGGAAATGTGGGCAGAATTTACCACTGGAATACAGAAAAGATCTCCAGTTTTTATTTGTATATATTTTTATCATTTTAGTTCTTTGTTTGGCAATGGACATAATTCAATGTAATCAAGAAATACACATTTATTGGAGATATGTGTCCAGAATTATTTTTGATGGTGTTCAAGGTGTGTAATCTACTGGCCTAGGTAGGCACTGTCCTAAATAAGTTAAAAGATGGGCCTTTCCCCAAGAGCTTTCCATTTAAAATTACAATTATCCAGCAAGCCAACTTTAAGCTTTTGCTACTTACCAAGGATTGTAGTGTGGGTGAGAGCATCCAGATGGCCAGAGGTGAGTGGGCTGCTCCATACAGATCTGAGTGTATTTATTTCTTATGAGCAATAAAGGTTTAAGAATGAGGTGGAATTCTCACAGGTTATATATACCCTAGATCAGAAAAGACTAAGGCATGGGGCGCCTGGGTGGCTCAGTCGTTAAGTGTCTGCCTTCGGCTCAGGTCATGATCCCGGGGTCCCGGAATTGAGCCCCGCATCGGGCTCCCTGCTTGGGGGAAGCCTGCTTCTCCCTCTCCCACTTCCTCTGCTTGTGTTCCCTCTCTCACTGTGTCTCTCTCTGTCAAATAAATAAAATCTTTAAAAAAAAAAAGACTAAGGCAGACAATCATTAAAACTTGATGGTTTTGTGATATAGAAGACCAAATGATGGAAAATAAGCTGGGAAAAAGATAAACAACTACTGGATCACGAGGGCAGAATTCGAGAGATAAGCGATACCGTAAGACGAAACAACATTAGAATAATTGGGATCCCAGAAGAAGATGAAAGAGAGGGGCAGAAGGTATATTGGAGCAAATTATAGCAGAGAACTTCTCTAATTTGGGGAAGGAAACCAGCATCAAAATCCAGGAGGCACAGAGAACCCCTCTCAAAATCAATAAAAATAGGTCAACATCCCAACATACAGTCATAAAACTTACGAGTCTCACAGACAGAGAAAATCCTGAAAGCAGCTTGGGAAAAGAGATCTGTAACCTACAATGGTAGAAACATTAGATTGGCAACAGACCTATCCACAGAGACCTGGCAGGCCAGAAAGGACTGGCACGATATATTCAGAGCACTAAATGAGAAAAATATGCAGCCAAGAATACTATATCCAGCTAGGCTGTCATTGAAAATAGAAGGAGAGATAAAAAGCTTCCAGGACAAACAAAAACTAAAGGAATTTGCAAACACGAAACCAGCCCTACAAGAAATCTTGAAAGGGGTCCTCTAAGCAAAGAGAGAGCCTAAAACCAACATAGACCAGGAAGGAACACAGACAATATGCAGTAACAGTCACCTTACAGGCAATACAATGGCACTAAATTCATCTTTCAGTAGTTACCCTGAATGTAAATGGGCTCAATGCCCCAATCAAAAGACACAGGCTATCAGATTGGTTAAAAAACAAGACCCATCGATATGCTGTCTGCAAGAGACTCATTTTAGACCCAAAGACACCCCCAGATTGAAAGTGAGGGGGTGGAAAACCATTTACCATGCTAATGGACACCAAAAGAAAGATGGGGTGGCAATCCTTATATCAGACAAATTAGATTTTAAACCAAAGACAGTAATAAGAGATGAGGAAGGACACTATATCCTATTTAAAGGGTCTATCCAACAAGAAGATCTAACAATTGTAAATATCTATGCCCCTAACATGGGAGCAGCCAATTATGTAAGGCAATTAATAACAAAAGCAAAGAAACACATCGACAACAATACAATAATAGTGGGGACTTTAAGATCCCCCTCACTGAAATGGACAGATCATCTAAGCAAAAGATCAACAAGGAAATAAGGACTTTAAATGACACACTGGACCAAATGGACTTCACAGACATATTCAGAACATTCCATCCCAAAGCAACAGAATACACATTATTCTCTAGTGCCCATGGAACGTTCTCCAGAATAGATCACATCCTAGGTCACAAATCAGGTCTCAACCGGTACCAAAAGATTGGGATCATTCCCTGCCTATTTTCAGACCACAATGCTTTGAA